GACTCTGCGGGACCCCCCCACCCTCATCCTGGGACCCCCACCCGGGATTCACCGGGACCCATCGGGACCCCCATCCCGGGACCCTCCGAAACCCCCCGGGACCCCCGGTGGGATCCTCCATAACGGGGACGCTCCGGGATTCATCAGGGACTCTGCGGGACCCCAGCGCTGGGACCCCCACCCGGGATTCACCGGGAACCCCCGCTCCGGGACCCCACCCGGGACCCTCCGAAACCCCCCGGGACCCCCGGTGGGACCCTCCATAACGGGGACACTCCGGGATTCACCAGGGACTCTGCGGGACCCCCCCCACCCTCATCCTGGGACCCCCACCCGGGATTCACCGGGAACCCCCGCTCCGGGATCCCCCGGGACCCATCGGGACCTCCATCCCGGGACCCACCGGGACCCCCCGCTCCGGGATCCCCCGGGACCCACCGGGACCCCACCGGGACCCCCCGCTCCGGGATTCCCCGGGATTCCCCGGGCAAAACCCCGCTCCCGGACCTTGCCCCGCCTTTCCCGGGGTGCCAGATGGTGACCGGGCGCCGGGACAGCGGCACTGGGAGCACTGGGAGCACTGGGAGCCACTGGGAGGGACCCGGTGCTGCTCCCCCGGCTCCCAGTGCCCCCCTCCCTTTCCCCCAGGGATCGATTTCAAGATCCGCACCGTGGATATCGATGGGAAGAAAATCAAGCTGCAGGTCTGGTGAGTTGAGGGGGGATGAGGAGAGGGTCGGGAATCCCCAAAATTCCCCAAAATTCTCCCAAATTCCCCCAAATCCCCAAAACCGCCCCGTTTCCGCAGGGACACGGCGGGACAGGAGCGCTTCAAAACCATCACCACGGCCTATTACCGCGGAGCCGTGGTACGGGGAGGGGGCTGCGGGGGCACCGGGGGCGAGGACCACCCCCCAAAACCTCGGGCAGGGGGTCCCGACCCCCCCCTGACCCCCGATCCCCCCAGGGCATCGTCCTGGTGTACGACATCACCGACGAGAAATCCTTCGAGAACATCCAGAACTGGATGAAAAGCATCAAGGAGGTGGGTGGGAGGATTCTGTGGGTGCAGGGGGGGTTGAGGTGGGATCTCGGGGGTCCTGCCCGTGTTTGTCCCCCCTGTCCCCAGAACGCCTCGGCCGGGGTGGAGCGGCTCCTCCTGGGCAACAAGTGCGACATGGAGGCGAGGAGGAAAGTGCAGCGGGACGCGGCCGAGAAGGTGGGTGGGAGGGGCTGGAGGAATCGGGGGGCATCCATGGGGCTGGGGGGTCCTGGGGGGCTCTGTGGGGTCTTGGGGCTGGAACTGGGGGGGCTCCATGGGATATGGGGTGTCTGTGGGACTGGGGGGATCACGGGAGGTTTGGGGGGGTCGTGGGGGTCACAGGGGGGTCGTGGTCCCTCAGCTGGCCAAGGAACACGGGATTCGCTTCTTCGAGACCAGCGCCAAGTCCAGCGAGAACGTGGAGGAGGTGAGGGGGGGTCCCGGGGCGGGGGGACTGCTCCCCAAAATTTGGCAGGATCGGGGGACCCCTCCCTCCTCCCAGGGGGTCCCCGGGTGCTGCCCCCCCTGAGCAGTCCCCGTCCCCCCAGGCTTTCCGCACGCTGGCRCGGGACATCCTGCACAAATCCTTCCGGAAAGCCGTGAGTGGGGCCGGGATTTTGGGGGGCGGGGGGGACAGGGGAGGGACCCCCGCGCCCCCCCTGACCCCTCCTCTCTTCGCAGCCCCCCGGCAGCAGCAGCARCAGGGCCCTGCTGGATCCCGGCCCCCCCAAAAAGGCCGGCGGGAGATGCAGCCTGGTTTAGGGGCTCGGGACCCCCGCGGGAACCCCCCCGGGACCCTCCCGGGGCAGCGCGGGCGCCTCTCCCAGGGGGTCTGGGGGGGAATTTGGGGGGATTTGGGGCTGCCCCCCACTCTCTCCTCGTGCCATAAAGCCCCGCTGTGCCTTGTTCCGGCTCCGGAGTCTCTTTGGGGGGGGTTTGGAGGGGACGGAACGGGGTCGGAACGGGATCGGACCGGGACCGGCACCGGGGACGGGCGGGGCGAGGCCACGCCCCTAAACCACGCCCCTAAACCACGCCCCTAAACCACGCCCCTAAACCACGCCCACAACGCCACGCTTGACTCGAGACCACGCCCCTCCAACGGAAGCCACGCCCACTCCCCAAATCCGCGTCCGCAGCTCCGCGTCCTGTGGGGTCAAAGACGCGCCCCTTCACCTAATTCCCGCCCCTAATTAAACACCAGCTAATTAAACACCAGCACACACCCCTTTATGCAAAAAATAAATTAACATCACTCCTCTTTATGTAAAAATTACCGAAGCCACGCCCATTTATGTAAAAAACCTTCGAACGCCGCGTTCTTTTTCCCCTCCAAGCCACGCCCCCTCTCTCCCATTGGCTCAGCCGGCTCCAGGCCCCGCCCCCTCGGTCTCCCCTCAGCGCTTCCAACATGGCGGTGCCGCCGTCGCGGCGGGGCCGGGCCCGGTAATCCCGGAGGATCCCGGAGGATCGCGGGGGTYCCGGGGSTTCCCGGCGGTTCCCGGCCGATCCCGATGGGGCCCGGCGGCCTCACGGTGCTGCTGGCGGTGCTGAGCGCGGTGCCGGCCGGGCTGCGGTGAGCGGGGAGCGGGGGACACGGCGGGGCGGGCTCGGTGCGCGGGGCCCTCACTCACAGCGGTTCCTCTGTGCCCACAGAGCGGCGGCGGCGGCGGCGGCGAGCGAGGAGCGGCTCGGTGAGGACGGTGCCGGGATGGCCTCGGGGGGCTCGGGGTGTGGTTTTGGGGGGCTCTGGGTTGGTTCTGTCCCCTCCTCACCATTTCCATCCCACAGCGAGCCCCGCGCTGACCACRCCGTGCTGGCGAGTGGAGCAATTCGTGGTAGCCCAGGAATGCACCCGCTGCTCCGGCTTTGAGATGGTGAGTGTGGAGATCGGGATCCTCCCTCCCGTTATCCCGGGGATCTGGGGGTTTTTATCCCTGACCGATCCCCTCCGTTCCGTTCCCCCGCCGGTAGAAAACGATCCCGGCGTGCGGCGCCACCGGCTTCATCGAGAAAATCAACTGTGCTTCATCCCACCGGGACGAGTACAAGAGGTGAGTGTGGGGCCGGGAATTGCTGAGGGATTGGGGCTGGGAATGGCCACGGGACCGGGAATTCCTGAGGGATCCGGGCTGGGAATTCCTGAGGGATTGGGACTGGGAATGGCCACGGGATCAGGACCGGGAATTGCTGTGGGGCCGGGAATTGCTGAGAGATTGGGACTGGGAATTCCAAAAGGATCGGGGCTGGGAATTCCTGAGGCATCCGGGCTGGGAATGCCCCCGGGATCGGGAATGCCCTCAAAATCGGAGCTGGGAATGGCCATGGGGCCGGGAATTGCTGAGGGATTGGGACTGGGAATTCCTGAGGGATTGGGGCTGTGAATTCTCTCGGGATCCCTCGGGCCTCCCCTCGGGATCGGGGCCGGGAATGTCCTCGGGATCGGGGCTGGGAATTCCCTTGGGATCGGGACCGGGATTCCCTCGGGATCGGGGCCGGCAATTCCCAAAGGATCGGGGCCGGCAATTCCCAAAGGATCGGGGCCGGCAATTCCCAAAGGATCGGGGCCGGGAATCCCCACGGGATCGGGGCCGGGATTCCCTCGGGTTCGGGACCGGGATTCCCTCGGGATCGGGGCCGGGATTCCCTCGGTTTCGGGGCCGGGAATTCCCTCGGGATCGGGGCTGGGAATTCCCTCGGGATTGGGGCTGAGAATTCCCTCGGCATCGGGGCCGGGAATCCCCGCCCGATCGGGACTGGGAATTGCTGTGGGATCAGGGCCGGGAATGGCCACGGGACCGGGAATTCCTGAGGGATCCGGGCTGGGAATTGCCATGGGATCAGGGCCGGGAATTCCCAAGGGATCGGGACTGGGAATGCCCACGGGATCGGGAATGCCCTCAAAATCGGGGCTGGGAATGGCCATGGGACCGGGAATTCCTGAGAGATCCGGGCTGGGAATTGCTGCGGGATCGGGGCCGGGAATGCCCTCGGGATCGGGTCTGGGAATTCCCAAAGGATCGGGACTGGGGCTGGGGATTCCCGAAGGATCTGGACCGGGAATTCCCTCGGGATTGGGACCGGGATTCCCTCGGGATCGGGGCTGGGAATTCCCTCGGGATTGGGGCCGGGAATCCCCACGGGATCGGGACTGGGAATTGCTGTGGGATCAGGGCCGGGATTCCCTCGGGATTGGGACCGGGATTCCCTCGGGATTTGGGCTGGGAATTCCCTCGTGATTGGGGCCGGGAATCCCCCCGGGCTTTGCTCCGCAGCTGCCGCTCGGCCGCGCTGGAGGCTCAGCGCTTCTGGCACTTCGTGGGCTCCGCTCT